TTTAATAATCCTCATGGTCTCCAGGAGGCAGCATTTTGCTGCACCTTGGATATGACAGCTGTACTTGGCTGTACTCTCACACCCCCCGGGACCACTCCAGATAACCCCCACGCCCCCGGGCTCACCTTGGAGGAGGCAGACCCTGATGCCTGCCTCGGGCAAGCTGCGCAGCACTGCGTCCAGCACGATGTACACCATGGTCAGAGACACATGAGCAACCAGCTTTCTGGCCAATGTTTCATGGAGCGCAACTTGAGAACCGCTGTCCTAGATCATTACAGACCTGTCATTCCACAGCATGTCACTGGGAAGACATCTTCTCCTAGATCTGCAAAAAAATGTTTAGGCCTGGGTCTATACTTTGGCTACACTATGTATTTATGATCTGCCAACCACAGTCAAACCAAGAAGCCACGTGGCTTTTTCTAGAGCAATTTTCTACAATGTAATTAAGTGACAAAGGTAACCTCTGGGAATAGATCTGATTAATTGGCCACTTCTTTCTGAGCAGGAGCAAGTGCCGGCATTTCTGAATCACAGAGAAGTTCCTCCTTGTTTCATCAGAAAAAGCAGACAGAATGAGCCTCTAGCTGGGGGCGGGGAGGATGAAAAGTCCCGAGCAAAGTCAAAGGGAGGTAGAGATTCCCAAGGGTTGGGGGTGGAGGGAAGCAGGAAATGGACACAGCAGCAGGCTGGAAATGATGGGAGTGGAGGGGAGTTTCCTCCATCCCACGGTGTTCCCTGGAGGAGAAGCCAGCCCCCTCTCCTCTTCACCTGCTGACACTGAAAGCCAGGAACCACCCCCTCCGAGGCCTGGGGCCAGCATGCGCCCATGCCTGCAGCCCTCATCTCCAACTCCGGGGATGCTGGCTCAGGTCCCATCGCACTCATCTGTTCCCACACTTCACCGAGATGTCGGCAGGCAGAGATCCTTCAGTGTGGGAGTGGGGCTGGGCTGGAGGAGTGGGGAGCCGGCCTTCCCCTCCTGCCCACTTGCTCTTTACCGAGAGGGAGAGGAGGAGATGTCATGGGGCCTCCTTGGGAAGGGGAACTTGAGCACCTCCACTGCCCGGCTCTTCCCCCGCCAGCATGCTCTGAACAAGGAAGGATTCAGGCAGGTGGGTGAGGTCCCTCCCCAGCTCTCCCTGCTTCCCAGCTGCACGCCCCCAGCCTGTTCCAGGCAAGGGCAGGGCATGTTACTCTGCAGTCAGTCATCTGCAGCTCCGATTCCTCTGGCAGGAGGAGGAAGGAGGGCCCCCGCCAGGAGACACCAGGGAGGAGAGGCTCTGATCCTGCTGTGCCTTCCAGCTAAATCGCTTACTCCCACCTGCCATAGGGCATTTTGACACATGCTCCGGGAGGCACAGAGCAGGGCACTTTAAGTAGCGAGTGCTTGAAGTGCCCGAGTGTCACGTGTATCAGCATCCACTTGGTGAAAAATGGCAGCAGGGCGCTTTGAACTAGAGCGCGTCAAATGTGCTTTAGTTCAAAGCACCCACCGCCATTTTTTGGTGTGGGAGCAGTAATACACGTGACGCCGGAGTCTGCTGGAGCATGGAAATAATCGAGTCTGCTCGGCCGTGCTGGATTTCCAGCTGCATGGGAGCCGGCTCCCTGCCCGTGTATTGGAGCCTTTATATTCCCCACCTGGAGAACAAGGGCGAGAGCTGCATGGGAGTGCAAAGCCAGAGCAGGGGGCCTGGGCCACAACCCCTCCGGAGAACCAGCCGCGCACGGAGAAGGGCAGCCGGCTGCACGAGGGCTGTGGGAGACTGCAGCCACAGGCAGCCCAGCTCCATTAACATGGACACAGCCTCCCAGGCTGCTTTCTTTTCTTTGCGTCTCAGTCTGTGGCTGTGTTCGGGGGCAGGGCTGGAGGGGAGATGCGCTGGGGGCGAGGGAGAGGGACAGATTGCAAGAGGTGTGCTGTGAAACCCTGTGTACCAGACCTCACCTTACACCCTGTGCTCTTTGTCTCTCTCTCTCCATCTACCTCATCTCCTTAGATCATAAGCCCCGTGGGGCCAAGACAGCACCGTGTTTACGCAGAGAGAGGCGCCTGGCACTCCTGGAGGGCACGCGCTAATGAGAATACCCTTCCTGGGGTAGCGCAGGTACGATCCTTGGTGACTGCTGTATGTTGGCTCTCAGCTGCCGCTCTCCCCCCTCCTTTCAGCTATTGCAAAATCCCCCCCTTAGTCACCTTACAGAATGCAGGGTTGATGAAAGGAAACATCCCCCCTTGCCCTCGTCCTCACTGGTTTCTTTTGCAGCAGGTTATTGCGCTATGTACTCCTTCTGCTTCCCAGCTTCACGCCCACGGCCTGTTCCAGGCAAGGGGAGGAAACGCGAGGGGCGGGTTTCTCCACCGTCAGTTATCTGCAGCGCCAGCTTCCTATGGTGGGAGGAGGCCACATCTGGGGCTTGGGATGCTGGAGGTAGGATCCTGCTGTGCCTTCAGCTTCCTGTGCGACCAGGCTCAATCATGCACCCTGTCACATTCCCCACCTGTGCAAGAGAGGGGAGAGCTGCTTCCCCAGGGGCCATGATGCTCCAGTCCCACCTCCCGGGGAGAGCAGGCCCCGCTCTAGCACTAGGCGATGCATGTGCAGGACTGGCGCCACGGTCCTCAGCTCCAAGGAGCATGGGCCGCAAGCACGTGGTGGTGGCATGGGTACCTCGGCCTCTGCAGTCGTGCTTAGCACATTGCAGCGCGCATGGCACGATCCTGCCCCGCAGACCCAGGGGTGGCATGGGGCCCCCTGCCCCCCAGGGTCTGGGGGTGGCATGGGGACCCCTGCCCTGAGGATCTCGCCCTCTAGCACCTGCCAGAGGTGCGGGAGCGGATCCACCAGCGCTCCCAGGCCCCCCCCTGTCCTGCAGCGTCTCCCCACGGGGCTGGGGGAGGGGGGCACTTGCATTCGTCCTGCAGGCACGGCCCCAGGCGGCCGGACGCACCTGCCCTTCTCTCCCGGGCCGTGTAGGGCAGCCCCGTCCGGGCCTGCCCCCTCCCGGGCCGGCCGCAGGCCCCGGGGCCGCC